CTTGATGAATAAAAGATTTGCACAAAGATTAATCACTCAAAAGTTTTTCAATGGTTTTACCTTTACATATGATCATGAAACATCTAAGTATTTAGTTTGAATAACTTGACTTGCATTGCTTGATTTGTACTTGTGTCTCGATTTTATCAGTAATAAACATAATTTGTTTGTAATAATCAAAATGAGACGTCAACCATAGGTCAACAAAAACATTAAATGTAATGAGTGGACAGTGATGTGAAGCTTCGGCTTAGTGGTTGTGCCCACGTGGACTTGATCCGACGATCACCACGTTGACTAGAACAGTATAAATAGCCACTCTTTGTATAAAAAAAGGGGACAGTGGATGGATGCAAAGAATATACAAATACATACTCACACAAATAGGAGATCATTGATAGTGTGATAGTCCTGAAAAATATCGCCGGAACTTTAACATCTTTGTCTCTCGCCGGAAAGTGCCTCCCATGTTCAATACAATTGGATTACCGTTCTTATTCCGGTAAAAAAGTGATGGATTTGTACTTGACGTGGCGAGAGTGGGCCTGGCATCTGTTGAGTTCATTTTTTGGGGTCAACAGTTTTGCGCCTTCTGTGAGAAATACCTACATTTAACCACGAATACAAGTGAAAAAAAAGGTCAGGTTACATTACTGAAAAGATCGACGGAAGGAAGTGCCTATCCTTGAAAAAGGAGCATCAATATAGCTAGAACGGCCAAGAACTTAAAACCCTTGAAGAAATGGATAAAAAGTTGCTTACTAAAATAATCAAGAGATTAGTTCCATGGACGAGAATGCCCCTAGACGAATGAGGGAACACCCTGAAGAAGAGAACCCTCGCATGCTGCTCAGGCAGTCCGTCCAAGACCTCCAATACGCAGGAGATGAGGTTCTAAGGGCAGAGGGAGAGTAGCAGCCAGGCTGACTAGAGAAATGGCGACAATGGCGGCCAACATGAGAAATATTACTCAGCAGAACCTAGCCATGCAAGAAATGTTGATGAGCATACAGGGACAAGGAGGCTATCAAACCCACCAATATACAGCCCCGGAAGATGTCTTTCCTGAAGCACAAGGGTACTATCAGGAGGAAGAAGTACAAAGTCGAATGGTCGAACCTCCGTATGCTGGGATGGAGGTCCCTCAGGAGAGAGATGCCGAGATGGAAGCCTAGGTGAACCATGCCTTCGAAAGACCAGGTGAGGTCCCATTCAACCACCCTCCAAACTATGAAAATTGACCCCAGAGGTCCAGAAGTGTTTTTGACAGGATAAGCTCAGGGGTATCTACAGATAGGTAGGACCATTCACCCCAAGCACCTAGAAATAGGCAAGCTTATTCTCCACCACCTCCGACTAGAGAGAGGCAGCAAAAGCCTTACCACTTTGAGGATCCGTCGACGTACCACGAAGAGCCTCCAAATCTGAGAGAGCCTTTAATCCGACCCCCTAGAAGTAGGCGGGAAAGGAGAAACCAAGCTAGAAATGAGGTAGGAACCTCTAAGCACTCCTCCAGGCACCCCAAAAAGATGATGGA